TAAAGGAGAGATTTTTTTTCCATAGAATGTAAATGCAGGGAAATTGACTTATTTATTTATTTATTTTTTGCATTTACCTTTGAACACTAGTATTCAGCAAGTAAATTACTACCTAGAATATTTTCTGAAGTAATTTCAGGAAAAATCTGAACCAGATTCCCAGATTTGACCATTGGTGAACTGGGGATTTAAAACATTCAAGTGTGAATGTTGCAGTTTAAACCTATGATGTGTCTGACTCTGGCCCATATTTGTGATCAGCATTTGCCAATATGTTTTATCCTGGTAAAGATAATAGGATTATTTGTGTGAATAAGGCTTGTGTCTGACCTCTGTCTTCTCACCTTTTTATAGACAGAGTGTCTTGCACAGAGTGCTCACTTGATCTAAATCTTTTTTAACCCTGCTGTGGTTGGTTCATACTGAAGCTCCCACCATCAACCTGAAACCAGAAGTATTTTAAATTAAACAAGGTTCACCCACAGCTTCAGAGGAAACTCAAATTAAATCAAAACTAAAAAGGAATAAAATATCTTGCTAAAGTCTGTGATAGTGACTATGAAGATGGGTTTTTATCTGAGAGTTAAAACTTATTAATAGAAAATAACATTTGTACAAGAACTGGTTTGAAAATGTGCCATTTTTCCTTTGGCAAGAAACAGAACTTACACTGAAAAAAAAAATCTATCCAGAATTGATGCTAAGGCACCTCATAGACATTGTAGTTTAAGTACATTATGTTCCCATTCTCCTCAGTGGCCTAAGCTCCTTGGCTGATCTCTCCTAGTCTTGCCTTTTTCTGAGTGTAGACCCTATTAGAGTTGCCAACCCTCCAGGATTGCCCAGGAGTCTCTAAGAATTAGATAATAAATCTCCAGGAGATTGCTGAGAGTCACCCAGGGGATAAATGATAGGGTATTCATTAAAATAAATATTAAATGTTGAAACCAATTTATACAGGAGTCCAGTGGGTTTTAAAAATGTATCAGTAGTGTGCATTTGCCTTTCTGATATACAGTCTACACACTGTAACCCATAACTGATATACGCAAGCATGCGGGCACATTTACGTCATCTATCACGGGCATCTTGGCATTCCAGAAACCTCCTGGAACAGATTCAAACAGTGTTGGCACCCCTAGACCCTATATGAAATAGGATGCGTATATGTCAGCTGCAGAACCTTTCTCCTTAGAGAAGACTAGAAGTGTAGGTCCATCTGTGATGAATGCGAGTGGTACCTGGGGTGTATGTTGTCCATAGTGCAGCCAGCACAGATCCAGGATTTGGCAAAGGGGGCTTGGATGCACTACCCCATACTGCAGTGATGGCTGCACCTCCTCTCTGCCCCCAAACCAGTGCAGGCAGTCTGTACCCTGGGAGCCTATGGGGACTTTTTAAAGACCAAAAACCAGCTAAGAATTCCTTTACTTTCCCCTCAGAGCTTAGACATGTCCTTTTCCCTCCCCTCCTTCCCCTGTTCACTACTTCTGCTTCCCCTGGTGTGCCAGGGGAAGCGTCCAAACCTAGGTGCCAGGCAGCCCACCTGGAGTGGGCAGGAGCAGCCCTGAAGTTTCCCCCTCCCCTGGGAGAGTGAGGAAAGCAGCAAGGCCAGGCAAGGAACAGGGGTGGGGAGACAGGGAGAAGGGACATGCCTCCGAGCACTGAGGGGAAGGGAGGGGTGATTCTCACCTGCTTTGGGGATTTTTAATAAGTCCCAGAGGCTCCAGTGGCAGTCTAATCTGAAAGCAGGGTGCAGCCATGCCACTGTATTTCCCTCTGGATCTGCCCTGCAAGAGAAGCCTGTTCTTAGATGGCCTGGATATGCAAATGGGGAAACTGGTCTGAATAAGAATAAGAAGCCTTCCAAGCTGGAAACCAGGTTGAATAACAAGAAGAAGCCTCCAGAGCTGGGCTCTGAAATAAAAGATATGGGAGAGCAGTCACTGAGAAACTGATGCTTTCCAGGTCTCAAAAGAATTTCTAACAGAAAGTTGCTTGGCTCTTTTCTCTTCCTGTAACTCCAGAGGGAAGCTGAGCAGCCTTAGCTTGTAGTGAGGCACCAAATAAAAGAGCCCACATATACCTGTGGGCTAGCTTTTTGCTTTTGAACAAATGTCTGTAATATATTTCCTTTTTAAAATAAACATACTCGTTTTATGAAGTCTTTTTATCATCATATAACTAGTCACAGGGACCACAAGAGAGGTAATGCATGGGTTTGGTCAGACATGTAGTTACAAGGAGCTGGAAGAATCGAGGTGTTGTACCAGGTCCCTATCTAAGAGTGAAAGACTTATGAGATTCCACTGCCCAGACAAGCAAGGACAGGCAACTTCCGGGGTCTTCACTCAGAATGGAAAGAGGGGCCACGGAGGTAGAAGCATCCATGTAATGACGACACATCCAAACCACAAATCTGAGGCACAAGAGCAGCATTTCCAGTTCACTATTTTAAAAATGTCATTTATTTATTTTTTATTTGCTTCTTTTGGTTTTCATTCAGAATTTAATGTTTCAGGCAGTCAGGTGTTTTGTTTTTTTTTAAACAAACAGTAAAAAATTTCCATGAAAATAAAAAATTTCCAAAAAACCAAGCAACCTTGGTTCTCCCATCCCTTTCTCTCCCCTCCCCAGAAAATCCAGCTATGTCTCAGTAGTTGTTTTTTTTTTTCAGTTGCATTTTATTTCTGTATTCTGTACATTGTCCTTAGCCTCTCAAGTTTTTCATATCATTTTGTTCTAGATTGATGGAATTTCTCAGGCCCCCTCCACTCTATAGATATCGTCTCAGCTTGAATTTTGTCTGCGAATTAGTGCGTACACATCCTCAGCTTTCTGCAAAGATTAGCTACAATGGACCTGTGCTGACCTGATGGTATACCATCAGGTATATCAGCTAGGGGAAGTTTACTTCAAGGTTAATATTTACTTCAAATGCTGCCTGTACACTATACATATAATTTTTGTTCGTTTTGTTTCTGTCACTCGTATCCTACTGATGGGATTGCTGGTTCCAGAGGGCATTCTCCTCTCCCAGACACCAGAGCAGATGCAGTAAAGATACATTTTCCTAACAATGTCTTTACAGCCTATTCTTAACCTCCCACTCTCTCAGTTGCTGTCACTGATACCATCTGGCATATAAATGGATGTTCTCCCACACTCAGTCCCTCTCTGTCTTTCCCTCTCTCTCTGTCACACTTTCAGGCAATCCCATTGCTGTAAGCATGGCTTTAAGCACCATCTTTTTTATTTTGATAAGGCTTTTCTTATTCTTTAAATAATATTTCAAGTGAATTGTGGTCCTTGCAAAAGGTGCTGGATTGGCAGCCTTCTAACTAAAGACCCAGTTTTAACCTCAGATTAAAAACAAGCAGGGCAGTTGTCATGACAGTTTATACAATGTCCTCCAACTAATGCACCTTGATTCTTACCTGACAAGGAATTACCATTTATACTGAGAAGGGTAGCTCAGTCTCCATAGACATTCAGTCCTTGACCTATCAAATGAGATTGTCAACTAGTGTCCTCGGTGCTGATTTTTGCGCTGTATACCAACTGACCTGAGATGACAAACTAATTTCATATAGGCCATCACACAAAGAGAAGCAGCTCTCAAGAAATTTATGTTGTCTCTCTGCTACAGTTTTCTAGTGATGCCTGTCATTGCAGTATCTGAGCACACAAAAGGAAGTTACATGCTCTCAGTAACTACTGAGCTGGATCTGTTGCATTTTGAAAATAAGAATAACCATCCATACTCTCTTATGTGTTCAAGGTTTGTGTAAAGCAGACAGGTCTAATATTAGGGACAAAGTTGGAAGCAAAAGCAGCCAGTGATTTTTTTTTTTCCCCAGGGAAAAAAGAGAGCAGTTTATAGTCCATATGGATTGACTCCACTTTTATCCCTTTTTATAACCTTTTTGCAGAATTTTTAAAAAACATTTTCTTCTACTCTGCCCATATTGAGATTTTGGTTTTTCCTTGCTCTAGATCCGGAAACATTAGTGGGGTTTTATTCCTCCTTTGAAAATGCCTGAAATGCTGTTTACTATTGATCTTATACATGGAAATGGAAGATAAAGGTGCTATTGCTACAAACCTGCTTGAAAGTTCAAGTTGGAGGCATTTGTATGAAAAGTAGATTTTGTCACCTGTAGGACAGAGGTGACCTATGCATATTTACAGGAAACAAGTAAACAAGTTGTTATATTACGGAATAAAACTTCAGGTTTTTTTTCACAGTTGCTAGAGATAATTACAGATATTATGATCGTTGTTAAAAAGATGGCAGATCAGATATTTTTAGACTGTTTCCAGAACCACATCTGTAAAATGTTGGTAAAGTAAGCTGAAGATAATATTTGTTTATATTAGGGTAAGCTTCAAAACCATTTCAAAATACGTTCTGCCTTTTTTCCAGCTAAAATTATTTGTGAATGAATTCACAAATAGTCCCTTTTGGCTCTTTGGGCCACGTTTTTGTAAATGTTTCCCTCTGCTCTGACAGAAAAAAATTCCATCTTTATTTTATACAAAGGGGGTGAAATTGAAAATTCAAGTAATTTTGAACCACCTTTTCTGCAAACCGCACTGTCATGCAAAACCTCATATGCTGCATAGGTCAATGGTCCACACAAGCAAGGAGAAGGATATTGTAACATCCTGCAACTTGTGTAAGATACAACATCTTTTGTTCCACAATGAAACTATCAATTGGTTCCTGGCGGTGCTATGATCTGAAGATTTGTACACACAGATATAGCATTTTACAGTTTGTCATAAGACATATCAGTTCCTGATATGGAAAATGGAAGACATTTGCTAAGAATGATTACATAGAAAGGAGGAGAAGGTGGGGGAACCCAAAGTAAAACAAAGCCTCTTTTTGTGAAGTAGAAATGGATCCTGCTTCTGACTGACTGAAATTGGATGAATTATGTTTCTGATACCAAATGCCTGTTCAGAGTACCTCATTCCTGTACTTTCTGTGTTAGACAGGGCTACGAAGAATTGGAAAGACAACTGAAAGAAGTTTTTAAGGAAAGAAGCAACATCCTCCGTCAACTGTCAAAGACATCAAAAGAACTTGAGGGAATTAAAGTAAATCTCCAGGTTAGATTTCCATTCTTGTCTCCATTACATAGTATTACTCACTTGATTTCACTGGAATTTGAATATTTATGTTATAAATAAGATATTTATAACATATGAATAATTGGTAACTACTGACCCTTGCTCTTTGTTTTTTGATGCTTGTACAGATTTTAAATATTATATAATTTTAGGAAAATATGGGTAGCATTACAGATAAGTAAAGTATTAACCATATGAAGTCACAATATGTCTGTTTACTTTTGTATCGCACTTGCTTGTAATTTGAAGAGGTTATGGAGAAATCATTAGGGAGCAGAACATACTGGGGTAGGAGAGAAGAAAATAATTAATTGACTTACTAGAAATACCCTTTTATTCATGTAGGCAAACTTGCTCAGTGAAGTAGTTGCGGCCATGTTCGAATTGTGTCTTCATTTCAGAAACAACTTACATTATCTACGCTCAAGTTAATATCTCTGAGGCTGAGTGAGCAAGAGTGCACATACTGCATTACTGCAAAGTCATTTGTTTAAAAGGACAGAATAATTGTTTTAAGACTTGCTACATTATTCAGCTTTAACTTTTAGCTAGTCAAGTAAGCTAAAAACATGACCACACTTGAAGGAAAGGTTTTTGTGCATGGAAAGAACTTAACTTAAGGACAATACTTGAGTTAACTCTGCCATAAGGACAACTGCTCAGTATGGAAAAAGGATTTACAGTCTTGTCCCGGATTTATATACAACTGCTGTCACCTATTTCCAAAAGAGAGCAACAGTTCTGGCCTCATGAAAACAGGGATGATAAAACTATTCAGCTGATAACCAATCTGAATTATCTCAATTTTACCCCTTTTTGGAAAACTTCATTTGTCTTAAATAGCCTGTACTAGTTGTCCTGTATATTCATGTGCATTGCAAAATTTAGGAGACAATCCTGAGAATTAATTTCCCCTGAACAGCTCTTGGGGCAATATTGTTACTAATGAGGGAATGAGTGCTTCCTTTATCCATACTTGAATCATACTACCTTATTTGGGCAGTATTGTGAAACTTTAAAAGCATTCAGTCTATATACTTTTTCCTGCCACTCTTACTTCTTTTTTCTTCCCAGTTTACACAGGAAATATGCTTACCCTCTTTCTTAATAAGCTTCCTTTAAAATTGTCTTTATTAAAATCAAAATAAATCAAAAGCAGTACTCAAAAAATTATCCTTTAATATATTCTAAGTTGCTTCAGCAGAGAGCAGGAACTATGCAAAGAAACGTACTACTTTTATGGGACATACTGAGCCAATGGCCAATATTATTAGGACATTCTTCAATCTCCACATGTGCATTTGGAACAGCTGTATGTGGTTAGAACTGAGTTACAGCAGTACTTTTCCTTAAAACATGATAAAATGTGTTTATTCAATGGGAGTTGTTTATAGAAGAGGTCACCGTTAATCATTTCACAGTTGAGTAGCATTAAGGATCTTTGGTAATACTTTCTCCCCTTTGTTGTCAGTCTTTGAAAAATGATGAGGCATCTGCCAAAAGTGATGTGCAGAAACTTCTGGAACTGGGCCAAAAACAAAGGTAAGACTCTACCTCCTCCTTTCTTTCTTTAAGTTTATAAACTGAAAACTATGAGACCATAGCATTTAATCTTGCCTTTATTTAAACTTGTAAGCATCTCAGAGCAGTTATTTTCAGTCACTCTCAACTGTGGCAAATAAAAAAGCAAGGGGGAATGCCATTGCAAGATAGTTTCTGCTCTTGGCACCGGATTTATGACCCAGATACATTGTTCCAGGAAGACCCAAACCCTTAAACTGACCACAACCTCTCCATTTGATAATAGGCACGTTTTATTGATACACAGTGATAGCAGGTAAGAATAATGTCAAGAATTCTATATCTACCAGGCCCAGGGTTCACAGAAACAAGGTTTGTCTGACCAGTATGCAAGCTTCACTCTGAGGTTCTCTCTTGAATGTCAGATGTCAGCAGCCTAGAAGTCAAAGGCTGAGCCCCATCCCTCACCCCCTGGTGGAGTGAGTAAGATGGGCTGGTAGTATGCCATAGTGGCTTTGGGTTCTCTTCTCAGGGACTCTTTTCTGCTCTGAAATCCCTCTTTTTTTGTATTCTTTTTCCCCCTTTGATGACTCTTTATCCCTGGGCATCATTGATTGTTCTCCCTGTGGTTGTCACACTGTCCACGTTCTCTCCTGTCAACATAGTCCTTTGTTTCACAAAACCATCACATGCACACCTCCTAATTTGGACTTTTACCAATCTTTTTCTAATTTGGTCTCATTACCAAAAGCCAGAAATCTCAAGGGCCCTGAAGTTTGGCACTGTGACCTGGCCAACATGTCAGAGTCCCTTATCTCTGTTTGGATACATTTTTCATGTTATGGAACAGCGACGTACATGTCTTCAGTTTCCCAGCCTCTGTGTCTGCTTGCTACTTGTCTGTGTAGACACAGTGGGCTTTGAAGAAACTTTGTCACAAACAGGCTTTTAGAAATCAATCAACCCTTACCATTCCCCTGGATCATTGTTCTAATGCATATCTACTTTACCTACAAAACAATTCCCAAAATAAAACCACTAAATACCATTTTCTAGCCATCATCTGCCACATATGAAATTGTGGTTGCCACTGAATGCACTTCATTTTTTAGTTATCCCTTAATCATTTTAACAAGAGGCAATATTTAAACTACATGTACACCACATAGGATAGGTTTAGGTTTTTCAGCATAGTTCAAACCTGGAATCATTTTTGCTTAAGTCAATAAAACTATGGATCTACATCTTCAAAAGTGATGTGTGTGAATAAATGTACATCAGTTTGTTTTTTATATCCTACCTGAAGTTCACCCAAAGGTCCTAGTTTTCAGAGGATGGACGTAATCAGTGTTTTGAGAAATCTGGGTCTTTAAACATCCAAAAAATTAAGCCTCCAAGATAACTAGGCACTTTGAAAAATTTGGCCTTCAGACATGTGGCTTGCATTCAGATAGAAGCTGAGAAGTTAATTATGGAAAGTCTTACCAGACAACTTGGGAGGAGATGGAGAAAACACATCATTGATGGGAGCTTAGCATTTATTCTTCACATTCTCTTGTGTAAGACATCCCTAAAATGCATCACAATACAGCTAAACTGAATGATGTTTATGTTTTCAATGAAACTGAGTATTTTTTATATAGGAATGTACTGCTGCATCACAGTTCCCAGAGAGACAGTTTGATGTCTACAGTGTACTAGTAAATAGCTTCATTTTTTTTCTTCTTCTCTCCATCCCTCTCAACTTTCAGTCTTTTATAATACACTTAAAGCCATAGAAACAGCACTTGTGAGTACTCAAGTGATTGCTAATTACACACTGGGGACTGGACTAAATGACTTCTTAAAGTCCCTTCCAGCCCTACATTTCTGTTATTTTCTCCTACTACATGATGGACTTTGGTTCTACAACAGTTACGGAAGACCAGTTTTGAAGTTCATATTTACAATATAGTAACGAAAGGAAATAATCATATAATTAATTCAATGGGTGTTGTGTACCTGCACTTTTATGCATCTTTCCCAGTAATTATAGGTCAAAGACTGAAAGGAAACACTTCCTAGTCGATAAGCAATATATCAAAATAGCAACCTGTCTTAACCTCATTGTAGATCATACTTTTATCCTTCTCTCAGCTCACCCGGTGGAGGGTCATATGATTCATGTATTAAGAGTCTGAGCCTGTACCTAAAGTGCAGTTGTCCTCATGTTTAATATAAAACCATTTAGATGAACATGTTAAGACCTTCTGGACTGGATCCCTTTATTAAACCCACAGATTGTTTGCACTCTAGTAATGTGAGCTACATTTGGCTTATGGGCTGCACTTTGTCTTCCCATGCTGTGATGCATGATGCAGTAAAATGAAGAATGCCAGGTGGTGTAAATTACTATAGCTCCATGGACCTCAGTGAAACTGCTGATTTACATCAGTTGAGGATCTGAATCTACTGTTTAATGATTAGAAAGATAACTGGAATCTCTTACCTTCTGTTCAATTACATTTTTATGCTGTGCTAGATCTTGGAGGCTTCTGTGACTGTTTAAGTTCTATTATTTCAAGGAACTGTCAACACTTTAAAGTGACTTTGATTTAAGCTGTAACAACATTGGGAGTCCTAGTGCTGATGGCCCTCTGCCTTTGCCAGCTGTTTCCAGCACTGTTTCAATTAAATCTTTAGTATACCAGGACTTTCAGTGAACAGTGATGCAGATAAAAAGATGAGCCAGCAAATGATATACTTCTGGCCTTTTGTACGAGATGCATTCTATACCAATCAAGTAGGCAATAGGCTAAATTCTCCTCTGCACCTGAGCTCTGATTAAGGCCAGCAGGGGTTTTCTGGGGACTGGTTGCAGCAGCATTTTCCTGAAGTTTGGTTTATAGCAGAGGCAGACCTGACAATGTTGTTGGGCTGATCCAAAATATGTCACCATGAAGATGTTCTGTGTACAGTTTCTCTAGTGTGTGCCCTATTCTGGGAGCTGAGGGGATGACCACATGCTGTTTAGATTTGACAGTTCTCTAGCAGGAAAATTGTCTGCATTAGTGTCCAGTTTGTTAGCATGAATAATACAATATGAAAAAGAAACCATCACAATCAATATTATTTATACTGTTGTGTCTTCATAACAAGTATATGCCAAGACCTTTTATGGAGTTATATATATTTTGCTTCCAGCAAAAGAGAAAACTACTAGGTTAGTTGTATCTGCTGAGATTTTTTTAAAGGAAAATATAGACTAGCTCTCCATGACAGTAGTATATTTTCAATTAATTGGGCCTTTAGTGGTTTACTTTCTTCACTATTATTATACCAGTTCTTTTTTACTAGAAATTTTACATTGGCAGGTGTTTTACACAGCAAGATACACAGTAGATACAAAAGGAAGCCAATTTCGATTAGCGATAATTTTCTTCTTGCATTAGCACTAGAGTTCACCGGGTCATTAAGTCTTTATTGACAAAAAATAGACACAGCACACCTGTCTGTTACTCCGTATAATTAAACGTGCGGCCTTTTGAAACGTAAGTAAACAAAAAATATTTCCTAATGGACAGTAGTGATGGAGTTTGTGTTGTGTCTTTTCACCAAACTAGGGAAGAAATGAAATCTCTCCAGGAGGCCTTTCAAAAGCAGCTTAATGAGGCAGCTGAGAAAGCAGAAAAGCAGCAGGCAACTGTGAGTGGGGTTTTTTTGTCTTTCCTTCATTATTTTTGTTTGCTTCTTCTGTCTTTTCTCTCCTCCTCTCTTGTGAATTTTTCATTATTGCAAATAACAACTTTGAATGAAAATACTTTTATTATTTGAGTGGATATTAATACTTTTTCTAGGTGGAGAAAAAAGGACTTAGTCCCAAATTCTCAAAGGGAATTTAGGTGCCCAACTATCTTTGAGGATTTTGGCTTTAATCTTTCCTCCAAGAAGAGGCATTCAAGGACCTTTTCCTACCTTTTATACTTATGTACTGACATAAGTTAATTAACTTTGTTGCAATCATACCTGATTTACAACAGTTTCATTAGGAACAGAATCAGAATCCAACCTTTATCCCATTGAAATCCATGGACTATTGACTTCAAAAGGCATTGGAATGCAGTTTGATAATTTATTAAGTTGTGTGGAAGTAAATCATTACAGTGTGTAATAGGTTTTGGCTAAATTCTGTACTCATTTAAAGAGGGGCAACTTGTTTGACCTTAGGTTGTTACAGTTACCCCGTTGAGACTAAATGGCCTAGACTACTACTATTTCACAGAAAATTAGAATCTCCTTGTTTCTTTGCTTTTGTGCTAGGTTGTAAATAGGAATTATCGCCTATAGATGGCAGTACCTTAATATCCAGAACATAGCTAACTCATCTGCCTTCAGTTGTTCACCAGGTAACAAGATGTATTACTGCAATTTTGAAGCTGTCTTTCAAGATTTCCCATTAATTTCTATTTTCATCCTTCTTTTCTTTTCTTTTTTTTCCTTTTTGCTCTGCTTAATTGTTTTATTTTTAGGCTTCCAAGACAATAATGGGGTCAACTCAAGAACAGTATAAAAAAAAAAAGTTAAATGATTTTGTAAACCATTGCCAAGATGTGGTTTGAATGAAAGGTCATATTACTCTTATTTATACCTGTACCGGGTTTGAATATCCTTGGTGAATAAAATGTGGGTTTATTAACTAGTAATACTCCCACTAAAGAAAATGGGAACATTTCCTTTGGCTTTACTGAGAGTGGGGGACACAGGACAGCCCTCGGTCCCTACCAGTTTGGGATCCAAGACTATCCCTTGCCTGACCTTGTGGACTGAGACATTGTCCGGGGAGGAGGAAAGAGGGGGAAAGACTGTGTCCCAGGCTCTGGTGCTGCCCATACTCCGTTCTGAAGCCCAGGTGAGCCTCAGGATCAATTCAAGGGAAGCCCTGGGCCTGTGATATATGCCACACATTCAATTTAAGGCACAATATACACAGACACCTTAGAGAGGCCCTCATTTAATGTGGAACATCTTTGTGGCTAGTTTGCCAATTTATCATGCCATAAAGTGGCTGAACCTGAGGCACGTTACAAGTTATGACATGGTTAACATGGTGTAGGCAGCTATGGGCAGAGTCTGGGCAGATCATAGCAGGATATGTTTGGTCAAGCTAGTTGAGCTGACCAGTTTTACTTTTGATGTGGACTTTGGCCAAGGACCCACTGTTCCGGGCCCTTGCCTCTGCTGCAGTCAGACTAGTGGATAACACCTGGAAGCTACCCCAAGCTTGTTAGCAATGCAAAACAAAACAAAAGGAAGTTAAACAAATAAGTTAGCACTTAGCTGTCTTCCAGTGGTTCTTCCAGCTTTACCACCTGGCTGTGTCTTGTCTTTCAAAGGCAATGCAGAGCCTGTGGCTTGTGTAACAATGCAAATGATCAGGCAAGCAAACAAACAAACAGAGAAGAGCCCTGCTCTAAGCTCTCCTCGTGCCTGCTTAACCCCGTGCCTGCTCCAGGCAGCCTTCTCCCTCACCAGGTGCAGCCTCTTGAGGCTGTTTTCAGTGTCTTTTATCTTTCCCACTATGGGCTCACATGGCTAAACCTTTCTCACTCCCCACACCTGTGTCAGCTCCCTTGCTGCAGGACTCACTATGTCCCAGGACCTATTTCCCATAGTTCCCCAGGCTCCAGTGAGTTCTCCCCAGTCTGGGGTGGGTATGCAGAGGTGCTTCTGGAGTATGGGGCTGTTCATACTCCCCTGAGCCCCTAGTAACAGGGCATGGTCCTGTTACATGTGTTTAACAGCATAACATCTCTCAGAGCCCTATAAAAGCAAAGGACAACTGACCCCAGAGTTATCACATTCTCCCTGCCAAACACCAGTGGCAAGACCCCTATTCTGTCACCGTTAAATTAGGTAAAAGTGCCAAAGCAGTGCAAAGGGATTCTAAAACCCTTAAGGAGTCAACTTAAGGAGGGCAGCCATAAAGACCCTTTCTAAGGAGCCTTAGTAAATTCAGGACACAAGGTGTGTGCTTGGAAATAGGATGGGTGCATCGGAATCAGCAGTAGAAATATAGCACTACAGCAATATGTTTAGAGCAAGCTATAGATGCTGGCCCTGCTTAAATAGTTATCTAAGTGTTAGAGAAGCCTGCATTTGGGAGGATGTAAGGCAGGCTTAAAGTTTCCATTATTTTTTTGTGCCTATTCTCAGGTTGGTATATTTGAATTGAGTACTACCAAAGGTTGTCATGTGTCCCTCACTTTTCCTGGTTCTTTGCTGCTCCACAGTATAGTCTCTCCTTCTAACTTTACAACTCCATCTCTCTTGCATCTTTTAAGTGCATCAGTATCTCAAGACATTAATGGTAGCATATCTCTTTCTCAATACCTGGTATGAGCAGAAGCAAAGACCTCATAGGCAAAGTTACTTCAAGTTCTAGACTTCAGCTTCATGTGTAGAGAATAGTAAACAGTTACAAACTATTAACATTTATGAAGGATTTTTTTTTTTAGCTTACTCTAATTGTGCAAATTGCATGTTCAGGTTTGAACTGTTCTATGATTTGGCATTGTTTTCCCACAGAAGATTTGCATACAGACTCTTTCTGCATATAAGGATAAGAATAGGGACCACACTTAATATGTTAAGGGTATTACACAGCAAGGACAAGTGCAGAGTGCTGCACCTAGGGTGCAAAAATATCTAGCACACCTACTGGCTGGGAAGTGACCCTCTCAGCAGCACAGAAGCAGAAAGAGATCTCGGAGTCATAGTGGACTTCAAGATGAACATGAGTTATCAGTGTGATGAAATCATCAGCAAAGCTAAATGCACATTATCAAGCATCAGAAGATGCATGACAAATAGAACCAAGGAAGTGATACTTCCCCTCTATGTGGCATTGGTCAGACCGCAGTTGGAGTACTGTGTCCATTTTTGGGCGCCATACTTCAAGAAGGATGTTGATAGACTCGAGAGGGTCCAGAGGAGGGCCACTTATATGGTTAGGGGCTTACAGGACAAGCCCTATGAGGAGAGACTGAGGGACCTGGACGTCTTCAGCTTCCGCAAGAGAAGGCTGAGAGGTGATCTTGTGGTCACCTACAAATTCATTAGCGGGGTGCAGCAAGATGCTCTGCTCACCAGGGCACCTCTTGGGGTAACAAGGAACAATGGTTGCAAACTGACAGAGAGCAGATTTAAGCTAGATATCAGGAAAAGCTTCTTCATGTTAAGGGTGGCCAAAATCTAGAATGTGCTTCCAAGGGAGATGGTTCTCTCCTACCTTGGGGGTCTTTTAGAGAAGGTATCTGGCTGAGGTCATCTGACCCCAGCACTCTTTTCTGCCTAGGCAGGGGGTTGGACTCGATGATCTGTTGAGGTCCTTTCTGACCCTAGCATCTATGAATCTGTATTTATTAAATAGCTTATAAAGCTTGAGAAATCCAACCAACATTGTTATAAGCACACCAGTATAAGATGTTCTAGGTGGTTATAAACTATATTGTAAGCTTATTGAATTAGGTAACAAAATGTAATATTTGATTAGTATTTATTAATACACCTACTGATTATTTAATTACCCCTTAGGAGCCATTGATAAATATATATTTAATGTAAAATTAAGCAAATAGGAGTGAACCATAAAATTCAGAACTTCAGCTAAGTACTGCCATGTTTGTATATGGCAAATTTATAATTTATTTTGATGTGGGCATGTGTTCACAAGAACAGGACTCAAACTACCTACTCGCTTCACATAAGCCAATAAAGAGACATTTTGACAATAATACCCAAGTGATGATTAGTGAAGTTGAAGTAGAAGTGAAAGATTATGTACCCTGCTGATCAAATGGCAGGTCCTTGGAGCTTACATGGAGGAAAACTATTTCCGTTGAGCTGTCTTCATGACAAGTGTTTTGAATCTTAACTAAACAGACATTAATTTTGCTGAACTACCTTAATAATTAAGATTAATGCCAGTATGTCCAGTTAGTTTGAGTCTAAGGGTGAGATTACACATCACAGTTAGCAAGTGCTAACCCTTAAGTATCTTAGTCTGTGTTAAGGTTAATCAGTGCTAACGATCAGTTACACATTCAGAGTTAATACTCCCTCTAATGTTGAGGTCTACCACCACAGGGCTGGTGAGCAGGCATGTGCCTAGAGTCTGCTAGTCTGCTCCGTGATTGCCCTACTTCCTGGCTCTCTGCTATATGCTGGGAAGGAGAAGGCAAGGGACCCCTCTGCGTTACTTGGATCTCCCCTACTGCCCCACAGGTTACCTCCTCTTGGGCCCTGAATCCCCTCTTGACTGCCAGCTCAGACCCTCCATCCCCATTGCTGCTTTGCTACCTCAATAAGTCTGAGAGCAGTGGCAACAGAGGTGTGGTGTGTGGGAAGGGGTTCCTCCTCCCTGCCCACTCCCAGTTTCTCTGCAGCCTATGCCATCCCTGCACATCTGGATCCAGCTCTGACTGGGCCCTGCAGCTGCCTGTCAGCTCCTTGTTCCTCTCCCCCCCCC